TTCCTTGTGTTTCTCTTTGTGGGTTTTCTGTTTACGTTTTGGGCTTGTGCTCAGGGCTAGAGGCCATTCCTGAGCCCCCAGGCCCCTGGGTGCTGTGTGCAAGGCAAGAGGCCCCGGCTCTCCCTCGCTCCATGTGCTCACACAGGTGTTTACCACTGCGAAGCTCTCAGAACAGTGTTGGCTGCTTCTCGAAGTTTACTGTCTTTCATTTTCCGTTTTCTCAAGGCGTTGTTTTATGTCAGTGCAGATAGCACAGCAGGTTGGGCATTTGCCTTGCACGAGGCCCACCTGGCCGACCTGGATTCGATTCCTCTGCCCCTCACAGAGAGCCCAGCAAGCTACTGAGAGTATCTCGCCCTCACGGCAAAGCCTAGCAAGCTGCCCGTGCCAAATATGCCAAAAACAGTAACAAGTCTCACAATTTGTTGTGAGACATTACTGGTGCCCGCTCGAGCAAATCGATGAACAATGGGAGGACAGTGCAGTGCTACAGTGCCACGAATCAAACTTTTGTGGTATGCATGGCCCCACATGTAGGAACTTCTACACATTTCATTTTCATTCCTTCTCTGACCCTCGGTAGTCTATTGTTTGGTTACTACATAGTTGTGTTTTGTCTGGTCTCTTGTAACTGGTTTTGAGGGTTCTTTTTTTTTTGTTTTGCTTTTTGGGTCACACCTGGCAATGCACAGGGGTTACTCCTGGCCCTGCACTCAGGAATTACCCCTGGCAGAGCTCAGGGGACCATATGGGATGCTGGGAATTGAACCGGGGTCGGCCCCGTGCAAGGCAAATGCCCTACCCACTGTGCTATTGCTCCAGCCCCTTTATTGATTTTGAGTTTGACACTGTTGCCATCATTATTTCTTTGCTTTGGTGGCCACACACAGTGGTGCTCAGGCTTGCTCCTGGCTCTGACCCCAGTGCCTAGGGTCTCCCTGGCCATACGCGGTGCTAGACATTGAACCCAGTCAGCTGCCCGCAAGGTGAAGCCTCCCACCGTCCCTCGCTCTGGCCCCACAGGTGGACATTACTGTGGTCAGAAGACGCTCGTGAGAAAGAAAGAGCGTCCCCCGTCTCCTTGTTCGGACAAGCCTGCCCCATCCTGGAGAGTCCCTGGGAAGTTTGGGAGTCCGTGGCCCCCAGTGCTGGGACCCAAGTGCTCCTGACTGCTTCCCAGAAGCCTGTGTGTGGCCGCTGGTCTGCTCCCTGCCAGCGCTGTCTCACTGCCTCTGACTGGGTGAAAGTGCCGTCTCTTACTCTGTCACGTTGCTGCCTGTCTCCCTTCAGACCTACTTACACACACACACACACCCAGTGGATGCTTCTGTGTCGGGTGCTTCAATCCTCATGAACGCCTATGCCTTGGGCTGGAACCCTGGGGTGCTCGTGCTCCTCTTCAAAAGCCTGTTACCCGTCCAACTTCTGCCTTACCCGAGTATAAGCTCTTTCTCCATTCCAGGGCTCAGGGCGGTAGGGCAGCAGGTAGGGCCTTTACCTTGCATGCGACTGACGACTGACACAGGCTGATCCCCAGTACCCAGCAGGGTCCTCTGAGTCCCACCATATGGGACTTGCTGGGTGTGGCACCAGAACAGGAAGCAGCAGCTGTTTCTCTGCGGCTTCTGGCTGGACTGAGTCTCGGCAAGAGCATCCTGATGGGGGTGTCCGAGATTAGTGCCAGGATGAAGCCCAGCTCTCGTGCGCAAGGCATGAACGTACAGCTCTCCAGACACTCACCCCTCCCCGGCACGGGACTCAAGATTTTATTTATTTATTTATTTATTTTGCTTTTTGGGTCACACCCGGCGATGCACAGGAATCACTCCTGGCAGTGCTTGGGGGACCATATGGGATGCTGGGAATCAAACCTGGGTTGGCTGCGTGCAAGGCAAACGCCCTACCTGCTGTGCTATCACTCCAGCCCCGGGACTCGAGATTTTAGAAAGAATTCAAACACTCGACTAACTAACGATCAAAGAGAACATTCCAAACATGCCGGAATGAGGTGAAAGATGCCCACGAAAGACAGTTTGGAGCTTAGGAAAGAAACTGGGAAGGTCTCCAGATGGATTTGGTTTCCAAACATCACTCGGCCGAGCCCCTGGAAATCTACTTCTTGAAGTGAACAAAGGAAGTGCCCAAGCTGTTCCACCACCCTGGGGAATAGCAGTTCCAGCCGTGTGTGGCGGCTGTTGTGTCTGTCTTGAGTCAGACCTGTGTCCAGCCACAGCACTGTGAGGCGAGTGCCCAGTGCCCCTCACAGGGTAGAGTTAGAGCATGAGCGAGGCCCGCGGGGCAGTGGCCTCCTCAGAGCTCTGTCTCAAGAGCCCCTCACATCCCAGGGCTGGAGCAATAGCACAGCAGGTAGGGCGTTTGCCCGGCCTGGGTTCGATTCCCAGCATCCCATATGGTCCTCCGAGCACTTCCAGGAGTGATTCCTGAGTGCAGAGCCAGGAGTAACCCCTGTGCAATGTCGGATGTGACCCAAAAAGAAAAAAAAAACCCTCATATCCCATCCAGGGGACGCATCAGTATGGCCCCGGCCCAAACCCTGAATGTGGATGCAGGAAGGAGCAGGCCTCGAGTCACAGAGGACAGAGCTGCTGGCCGGGAACTTGGCTGGCAGGGAGGGTGCGGAGTTTGGGATCCCGCCCTGTGGCAGGCACGCAGAGCTCAAGCAGCTGACCAGGAGCAAAGGCACATTGGGTGCAGCTGGATCACAGAGGGCAGGAGGCTGAGCCTCCGGGCTGGTCGGGGGGGGGGGGGGCACCTCAGTGGTCTCCTGACTGATTATTCCATGTTTAGTTGTTTTTTTTTTTCTTTTTGGGTCACACCCGGCATTGCACAGGGGTTACTCTTGGCTCATGCACTCAGGAATTACTCCTGGCGGTGCTTGGGGGACCATATGGGATGCTGGGAATTGAACCCGAGTTGGCTGCATGCAAGGCAAACACCCTACCCGCTGGGCTATCGCTCCAGCCCCTTAGTTTTGTTTAGTTTCAGGGCCACACCCAGTGACGGGTCTCTGCATTCAGGAATCACTCGCGGCAGAGCTTGGGGAACCCTATGGGGTGCAGATCGAACAGGGTGGAACGCATGCAAGACAGCCCTACCCACTGTACTTTCTCTCTGGCCCCCAACTGTCCCACATTTAAACCTTAAAACTAGGAGGTAGATCCAGAAGAGAAAGTCTGAACCGGAAGGAGGGAACTCACCTCGGCGCCCACTGCCTCAGAGAGTCAGGTCACTCTGGCCACTCACTGTCTCCCGTCACCTTCACCACCGGCACCACCACCCACCACCACCACCCTCATCATCTCTCCTCCAGGCTGCGCCTCCAGCACTCCCTCGCCACTTCAGGGAACGCAGGCTCTGAGGAAAATAATGCTTCACAGACCCACGGCAACCGCCTTTATAGAGAAGGGGCTACAGGCCAAGTGCCGGGCGGTCACTGTGGGCTGGGACCAACTCCTCTCCCTCTGCTTCTCGGCATCAGTCCGTCTCCTGGAGCCACTCTGGGTACGGGCTGGTCTGTTACCCACCCAGCTGCCCCTGCCCAACTCTCACTTCTTTGTGCTTCAAGATGGGCTTTGCTGCCACACCAGTGACCCCCTACCAGCAGCCCTGACCCGACTATTCGGGGGCTGCAGAGGTCAGGACCACCCAGCCGAGGGCGTGGGGTGTGGCAGGGCCCTCCAGGGCCGAGACCCATGAAGAGGGTGTGGGCTGGGCTCAGTGGGCAGAAGCGTGGGGGGAGCAGCGTGGGAGGGGCAGCGGTGAGGGCGGCAGAGGCCTGCGGGAGGCGGCGAGGTTCCTGGCCCTCGGCCTGTCCACAGGCACTACCCATGGAGCTGAACCACAGCAACCAGTAGGGACACAGGCTGCACCCCCTGGCCGGCTGTGTGCGGGCCCCACAGCAGCCGGGGCTGATGGCCCCTCTGTCCCCCCAGGCACTGGGGCCTGCGACCAGCCTGGGGCTCTTCCCACTTCTCCTGGGACGCCCCCCGGCTGAGGAGATGGGACATGCACTGAGGGGCCATCACTGGGGTCCCCAGCCCTCCACTCAGTCAGCTCCATGCACCCCTCAAAGTCAGATCCCACCCCCTGGTCCCCAGAATGAGCCCCCCACGAAAGACTCAGACTGTGAGGTTTGGGTTTTCCTCTGCAGGTTTTTTAGCAGACAGCGTTCTCCACTCTCTGGTCTGACAGCAAATATTGCAAATATAGAAATATTTCTGTACAGTCGAACAGTGCTAGCGGGGAAGCACAGCCTAGGTGCTCACCCATCCCCAGCTCCCACCCCTCTGTCCTCACTGCTGGGAACCCCGAGTGGCCACAAGGGAGCTGTGCCCCACCCAGGACTTTAGGTCTGTTAAAGAGAACTTTGTTTTTTTTTTATATAAATGAAGGATATAGAGAAAGGGCCAGGACGGCAGAATCCAGAGTAAAGAGAATGAAAAAGATTCCCCGCCCCCACCCCTTCCCAAAGACACAGTTTTCTGAAGTCCCTATGTGTATGTGTGTGTGTGTGTGTGTGCGCGCGCACGCACGTGTCTGCATGTGTGTGCAAACATGCCTCTGTGTGTGCGTGTCTGCAGGTACATATACATGTGCATGGTATGTGTGCATGTGCGCACGTGTCTTTGTGTGTGCGCACGCATGTCTGTGTGCGCATGCGTGTCTGTGTGTACACACATGCGTGTGCATGCGTGATTCTGTGTATACACATGCCTGTGCGCATGTGTGGGTATATACACACATGGCTGTCTGCGTGTGTGTATACACGTCTGTGTGTGCATGTGTGTGTACGTACACGTGTCTGTGTGTGCACGTGTCTGCATGTGTACGTAGGCCTGTATGTGCGTGCATGCGTGTCTGCATGTGTGTACACACGTACCTGTGTGCATGTGTGGGCACGTGTGTCTGCGTTGTGGACACGTGTGCCTGTGTGCGTCTGGGCACACGTGTTTGCGTGTGTGTACACATGTGCCTGTGTGTGCACGTGTCTGTGTGTACACACAGGCCTGTGTGCGTGTGTGTGTGCGTACGCGTGTGTGCAACAGTGTTCCAGGCACCCACGTCGCGGGCCTGGCTGTGTCCCCATCGGCGCCCCCTCCCCGAGTCCGCGTGCCCGCGCGTGTGCCGTGTTTGTGCAGGCCGCCGCCTCAGGCCTTGTGCTGGGCCGAGACCCCTTTCCAATAGTCCAGGATGTCGTGCAGGTCCTCGTCCCTGGCGAACTGCACCTTCTTGCGCAGGGCATGGCCGGCCGCCACGCCCTCATCCTCGTCCTTGTGCCGCCGGCGGCTCAGTCTGAGGCGCTCCCAGATGCTCTGGGGGGCCCGGCAGGGGTACTCGGGGCTGGAGGAGTAGCTCAGGTGCTGGTACTGTGGGGACAGCTGCGAGTAGGCGAGGTCGCGGGGCCGGGGCCGCGTCAGGGGCTCCAAGATGGACGCCTTGCGGCCGCCTCCCAAGCTGTCGTGGGGAGGGGGCGCGGGCGACCCAACGGGGCGGGGGCCCGGGTAAGAGTGGCGGTGCTCGGCACACTGGCGGCTCTTGTCGGCCTCGGCGCGCAGCACCGCGGCGGCGGACGTCACAGTGAGAATGGGGTCAGCGGCGGGCGAGCTCTTCTCGATGTACTTGGCCTCGGGGGGCGCGGCCCCGGCACGGAAGGCCCGGGGACTGCGCATGGAGCCCCCCGCCGGGGTGGCAGCACGCGGCGGGCCGGCCGCCTCCATGCTGTGGTGCCGGGGCAGCCCGTGGCCGAAGGCGTCCTTGTAGCCGGGCGCCAGGAAGCCGTGCTTGGCGGCCAGGGGCTCAGTCAGCAGCACCAGGGGCTCGGCCACGGCGCCCCCCTTGCCGCCCTGGAAGGAGCCGGACTCGGCCTTGAGCGCGTCGATGCAGTTGTTGATGATCTGGTTGACCTTGTCCACCTCCTTGGCAATGGTGGAGATCTCAGCCACCGAGCCCTGGGCATCGGGGCGCGGCCGGCCCAGCTCACAGTCCCGCTGTTCCCCGGCCCGCACCTCCATGTAGTCGCCCTTGCCGGCCTGGGGGGTCCCGCCGCCCTCGGCCAGCTTGTAGGGCTCCACGTCGCTGGGGGCCGCGGGCAGGTAGGGGACGCGGGTCACGGCCTCGGGGCCCAGCAGCGGGCCGGGCGCCTCCAGCTCGGGCCCGTACCGGAGCTCGATGATGGTCTTCTGGAGGCTGCCAGCCGCCGCGGCCGCCGCCTTGTGCTTCTCCTCCTGGCGGCGCCGCCGCCGCAGGCAGTGGTACACGGCGCCCAGCACCAGCACCATCCCGAAGAGGCAGCCCAGGACAGTCATGATGTAGTGGGTGGCCGTGGACGGGCTAGGCACGGGCGCTGGCGGCCCGGGCGGCTTGGCCAGGTGGAGCGTGAGGCAGGTGTGGTTGTGGCGCAGGCCGGCGCTGGTGGACACCACGCAGTAGGTGTAGTTGGTCAGCGCGTGCAGGTCGGTGAGCCGGATGTCCTCCTGCTCGCGGGTCAGCCGGGACACCGTGGCCGAGCGGCTGTGGTTGAGGTGCTCCAGTGTGTACATGCGGGTGAAGGGGCTGGGCAGCTGCACGGTCAGCGTGGCCGAGTTCAGGCCCAGGTGCTTCACCTTGATGAGGGGCCGCGCCTCGGCCTGGGGGGCCAGCGTGGGCAGGGCCACCAGTGGGGTGGTGCCGTCGCCCGAGAAGCAGTCCTCGTCCCCACACGGGCCCTGGCTGGGCTCGGGCGGCGGCGGGGGCGGGGGCGGCGGCGAGCGGCCGGGGGGTGGCCGGGCCGGATCTGGGGCAGCCGCGAAGGCCCCGTCCGTGCAGACCGACTGCAGCTTGGGCAGGATGCTGCGCTGGCCCTGGCGGCCCTGGCCCACCAGGAAGTAGCCGGCGTAGAGCGGCGGGGACTCGCACTGCATGCGGTCGTAGGCGTGCGTGGCGTTGGTGAAGGCCGCCAGCCAGCGCAGGAAGCCCAGCAGTTCGCAGGAGCAGTAGAAGGGGTTGCTGTAGAGCTCACACACCGAGAGGCGCGCCAGCCCGGCGAACGTGGCGCTGTGCAGCCGCTGGATGCGGTTCATGGACAGGTCCACGTTGACGATGCTCGGGCACTCCCAGAAGGCGCCGGGCGTGACCACCTCGATGAGGTTGGCCTGCAGGTACAGGTACTCAAGCTTGCCCAGCCCCCGCAGGGCCCCCTCGGTCAGGTTGCGCAGCCGGTTGTAGCCGAGCTGCAACACCTGCAGGTTGAACTGGCCCGAGAAGGCGCCGTCCTCGATGTAGCCGATCTCGTTCTTGGTGAGGTTGAGGTATGTGAGGTTGCCGAAGCGGCTCAGCGCGGCGTACTGCACGCTGCGGATGCGGTTCTCGTTCAGCCGCAGGTCCACGATGGTGCTGTTGATCTGCTGCGGGATGGCCTCGTAGGGCGGCTGGTTCTGGCTGCAGATGGCCAGCCACACGAAGCCCTTGTCGCCCTCGATGAGCCAGCAGTCGGCGCGGGCCAGCCCGGCCGCCTGCAGCAGCGCGGCCGCCACACAGGCCCACAGCGCGGCCCGCCAGGACCCGGCCATCAGGACGCCCCGCGGCACCACCGGCTCCTCAGACTCAGCCGCGTCCCGTCCCCCGCCGCATGGCTCACGGCCGGCTGCTGCGTCCGCCGCGCTGGTCTCCGTCCGCCTGGGCCCTGACAGCCGCCCGCGGCCCAGTCAGTCCTGCCAGAGACAAGAGAGGGGAGAGGCTCAGGAGAGAGGCCGTGTCCAGCTCAGAGACGGGGCGGGTGGCCCTGCGGGATGGACCGGGATGACTTCCTTGAAGGCGGGCGGCCTCTGGCAGCCTCTGCTGGGGCGCTGGGAATCAGGGGCTCGGCGGCAGGGCCCCCAGCCCACCCGGTGCCGACACCGCAACAAAGACCAGATAGGGACAGCGCCCGAGCACCCGGCAGGCAGGAGAGGAAACTGAGGCCCAGACCACATGCCGGTCACAGGGGGCTGCGGGGTGGTGGGCGGCTGCAGGCCTTAGTGCTGCAGAGCCCAGGACAGCTCGGGGCTCGGCCACACCAGGGACAGGGACAGGGCAGTGCTGGCACAAGCGCCCTCGGCCGTGTTTCTGCAGGAGGCATAGAGAGCATGCCTTGTTAGCGTGGGGATTTACTGCGCCTCCGCCACTGGGGCTGGCCAGCGGCCAGCGAGTGCGGCCCAGCCACGCCGGCCAGCCGCAGTGAGGCTGCGGGAACCGAGGGAGGGACAGACTTTCCCGCTGGCATCACTGGACCGGCCCCCCCGGGGCAGAGGTGAAGCGGGAGCACCTGGGACGCAGGACCAGGAGTCCGCCCAGGAGTGCCCACGGCAGACGTGCTGATCCCCTAATCTCTCTCAGAATAGCCCGGTCAGCTCAGGAGGATTAAGGGGAGCCCTTTCCACGGACAGCTCGGGCAGCCTCGCCTCCACGCTGCACACGCCTCACACACTCACACACTCACACGTGTGCACGGGCTCACCTATGTGTGTGCCCCCCCCACACACACACACACAGAGTGGGGACAGGCGTGCTGATGTGCCAACGCTCGGCTCCGTCCTGCTCTGGAAGAGAGTCCCCAGGACCCCAGAGGCCCCCAGATCCCTTCGGGGCCTGTCCTGTGTGGTCCCTGTGGAGACCAAGTGGCTGCTATGTGTTCAGGGCCTGGGGGAGCCCGTGGAATGCCACCCGCCTGCCCCCAGCGCCCAGCCAGGCTTCAGCACGCAACCCCCTCGGGACGAGAGCCCATAGGAAGCCCTGGAGCCCCAAGGTCCGGACACGGGGCACCACTGGGAGCCCAGAGACACCTGCAGCTGGCTCAACCCACAGAACCTCCAGGCCTGAGGGAGGAGGCCCCGCCCGGGATGGGGTGCTGGCCGGGGAGGGGCCGGCCAGAGAAGCCCCTGCCCCATGCTGGGGCAGGGAGCAGACACCCTACGGGTGGGGCCAGAGCTGGCCACCAGCCCTTCTGCCTCCCAGGGAACAGAGGAACATGGGTGTTGGGCGCTGCTGCCAGGGAGGCCACGGAGGACGCGGCACAGGGCGAGGCCCGCACCACCTGCGCTGGCTGTGTGACCTGGGAAAGGCCTGAGCCTCTCTGAGTTGCTTCCCCAGCTGGACGATGGGTTCCTGGGCGGGGACGCCTCTCAAGGTGGTGGGGAAGGTACCCGGGCGACACACGGGTGGGCTGGCAGCCCAGCCTGCATGCGGGGATGGCAGATGCCCGGGTCTCTCAGGGCCGCCTGGGCCCTGCTGCTCTGGAGTTAATTAGGGGCCCGAACACTCGATGGTCTGTTACGCTTCCACTGGGCATCTTCTTAAATTAAAAAACATGATGTACGGCATCGCTGGAGGGAGAAATCACTTTGCGGCATTTCCACCCGGCGCTGGCTGGCCTCTGGGGACCGGTCACGTGACCCTCTCCCGGCGCGTGCTGCCGCTGGAGCAGGAGGACCTCCAACCCTCCCCTCCAGACCCCCATGCTGGGGAGCCCCTCGGGGTCCTCCCCCTTCCTGCGGGACTGATTGTGCCAGACAGGCAGGCCCAGCGGGCAGTCACTGACCTGGACAGCGGTGAGACGTGGTGCAGGGACAGGCCGAGTCACGTGCCACCCCACCCTGAGGACCAGGATACCCCAGGCCAGACACTTCCTGTGCAGGGCCCTGGGGGCTCAAGCACCTCTCTCAGAAAGAAGCTTCTAGAAGGGCAGGGAAGCCAGCAGGCAGCCAGGGCCCAGTTTGTCCCTGAGGTCCCGCCTGGCCTACCCAAAATCGCCTTACATGACACTCCCAGCACGGACACATGGTCCTGGTTCTGGGGGGCTCATGCCCACTGTGTGCTGGGCCAGTCACCATAAGAACTCGGCACGTCCTGAGGGGCCCTCAGGTGCCAGGTGGGGGCCGCAGACAAGGTCACTCGGAGCCCCCCCATCACTGGTCTGACGGGCCCCCCCCCGGCCCCTGCAGTGCTCCCAGGCCCACGTCCATCCTGCTGCCCAGGTGGCCACAGGCAGGCCGATGACCCGACTCCGACCACGTTCCGGGCAACGCTTATGTCTGGGCAAGCAAAGCCCCCCCTTCCCTGAGCGTGGGCCTCCCACCGGCCTCCCCCTGGGCACCATCTCAGGGTCTGCGTCCCCGCCCACCCATCTGCAAACGGCTCCTCTCCTCTCCCCAACACCTGCAATTCTGTTCCACATCTTCCTGCAATGTCTGGAGTTTCTGGGCAAGGCCGGCGGCCACTGCTACTGTTTTCTGAACGCAAGTTTCTGAGCAGGGTGGGTGGAAGCCTCACTGTCTGCGTTGGACCTGGGAGCTGCGTGGGGGCAGGGATGAGGTGGCAGGGACTGAGGCTGAGGTCTGCCCCAGGCTCCTCCAGGAACCCGCCTCAGGCAAAGGTGGGGCCTTCCAGAACTGCCCGAACCCGACGGGCGCCCTCAGGGACCCAGCAGCAGCCTCCCCTTGTCCATGGGCCTCCCGGTGGGCCCTGCACACCCCCCCCAGCAGCTCCTAGAGACAGCAGCAGTTGAGGGGGCCCTGGCACCACATGGGGGTCTGCAGAGAAGGTGCCACTCGTCCTGGGTTCCGGGGAGGTTGGACACGCTCTCACACAGACTCACACATGCTCACACACATTCTGGGGTGGGCACATCTTGGCTAAATCCAACAGGAGACTGAGGCCCTCCGAAGCAGGCGGGGGACTGAGCCCCAGCACCCACCACTCGTGCCCAGGCACACCATCACCACCACCCCCGCTTACATACACATGGCACACGTGTGTCTGGGCGTGGTCCCAGGGCGACCATCCTGCTTCCCAGGCAGGCAGGCTGATGACCCAACTCCGGCCAAGTTCCTGGTGACACTTATCTCTGGGCAGGCAAAGAGCAGCTGACAGCTGGAAGCTGCCAAGGGGGGTGTGAGGACTCAGCAGTCAGGGGGCCGCCTGCCCCCCAAACTCCTCACCCAACACCCCAAGGGCCTCACTGGGTCCCCGCAGCTGGTCTGTGGTCTGTGGCCCCGCTGCCACAGGTGGCCGAGGGGGACAGGGCAGGGCCAGCAGCAGGCCAATCTGACCCACACCGACGCCGCCACAGGATGCAGAGAAGTGATGAGCTCTGGGGTCCCGCACTGGGGATAGAGCCCTGCGCCCCCCACACAGAAGTTTCACGTGGTCCCGTGTCAGGGGATCCCTGCGTCCCAGGCAGCAACTCACTTTCCCTTTTCGGGTAGGTTTTCGGGTATTAATCTTCATACCTTTGACTGTGTTAAATATTTCATAATGAGTGAAATATTTATTAGCCATTTCTTAAATATTTGAGTCATCTTAAATATTTGATACTCGGGGTTTAAATGTTGTGGAAAGGAGCGGGCCGGGCCTGAATCCTGGAGGTTCCATATGAGAGGCCACGCGCCACACACACACACACACACACATACAACACACACACACACACACACGTGAGGCTCAGGGCATCCGGCCTCTGTGCTGTGTGTGCCCGGAACCCAGCACGTGGGCCCAGGGGCTCAAGGGACACGCAGGAGGCACCTGTGCCCTCCACACGACAGAGGGCAGTTCACCCAGGGCTCTTGGAAGCCCCCCACCAGCCGGGGAGGTACGGACAGCCGACAGCCTCAGCCTGGAGCTGGGAGCCAGAGCAGGTGTGGGGAGAACAAGGCTTTGCCCTGGCCCGGGGGGAGCGGGGAAGGCCTGGAGAAAGAGGGGCTCAAATAGCGAGGCCTCCAGTGCCCAAATCAATGGCCCCAAGTACCTCCAGAGGGACACAGGCCAGTTGTGTCCAAGAGGGACATGAAAAACAGGTCCCAGGGTCACGCCTGCCCTGGCTCGGACAGAGCAACTGGGGTCTTTGCAGGAGGCAGAGGGGAGGAAGGGGCTGTCCCCCTCAAGAGCGCAGGCTGCCCTGCAGAGGGGACAGAGGCCAGGACCTGCCCTCCTGACCATCTCGCCAACCTGACCGCAGGGTCTGGCTGCACGGGGCAGAGCTGCCGCCCCCTGGGGCTGGGACCGTGAGCCCCCTCCCACCAGGCCCACCGCTCGAGGGAATAACCCTGGTGGGACCCACGCGCCAGCCAGACCCTTGATGTGGCACTCAGCACCCGCGCCCCGAAGTTCCTCTGTTCTTTCTGAGGGCGGAGCCGCTCTCCCCGGGAAAGGGGCCTCACCCCTGCTGCAGCTTCCAGCCAGAATTTAATAATGTTGCTTTGTTTCCAGCAAATTTATTTTTATGATTATGAATTCTATTTATGGCAAGCCAAGCTTGCTTCCATTTGTAATCGTGCTATAAAACTTCCCTTTTAAATAAATGTATTTAAGTTGTTTTTTTTTTTTTTTAAGTGAATTCACTTAGAGAAAGGCAGCAAGGGAGAGTCAGAGGGGACCAGGGACGAGAGTCCAGAGCCGGAGCCGGGAGCCCGGAGGCGGCCTCGCGGGAGGATGGGGTCGGCGTATGCTGCTCCCAGCCCTCGGAGTCCAGGTCCCTGCAGCCGCCCACTAGGCTCCGGGCAGTGGTGACCTTTTGCTAATGAGCTCGGGCTGTTTGCTGGAGCCGCCAGCAGATCTGGACAGAAGCTGGGCTGTCACCCGCGGCAGAGAAACGAAACGGTCCAGCCCCTGGAGCATGGGGTGAGGGAGCCTCCACATCCAGGGGAAAGAAACCGAGGCGGGGCCTGTGCACTGAGCC